CTTCGTTTCCTGTTTTCAGTTTGGCTTTTACACCCCGTTCCGTGCACGAGCGGCCACGTTCTCGCGTTTCGTGATATCTGTTCAAATGCAATTACTAAAGCGCTCCTCTGCTCCCATGGCAAATGAAAGAAAAACTAATTAAACCCTTTGTCCAACATTTTGTCAAACAAAGCAGCGAGTCAAAAAAAAAAGAAGAAAACAGGATGACTCAGTACATGAAAGGGATGGTAAAAAGAGGGAGGAGTGGGAGTGAGTGTTTGTATAAACAGATCGCTTGACAAAAGTTATTCAAGACAGCATTTACATTCCTTAACAATCCCGCGCTCTATGCAAATCAAAGTATCCATTCCCATCCGCAATGCGCCAAAGAAGGAGCCCGCAAATCCGTTGCAACTATATTTTTATGTTAATGCGATCGACGAATCAATACGCTTTCGATTTCAGCATAAATGGCGCATCAGCGACATCCGTCTTGATATAAGAGGGATTACAGGCGAACCAACATAACGGAACAATGACATCGACAAGTGGGTTGATGATGAGTAGTGGCAGTGGGTGGTAAGGAATGGCAGTCATAAATTTTTCAGTGGCTCGAATCCCATTAGGGCGACAGAGTGGCCAGTGAGTCCGCCAAGTGTCTCTCGGCCAGGTGCATTTCTCTGTTGTCTCCAGTTGTCGTTGTCTCCGCCTCTGTCCTCACCTCTGCTTTCTCGGCCCCCGCTGCATTGATTTATGCCAATCACGCTTCGCTAATAACTCAGCGACTCCACCGATGCTACTTCCGATACTGATGCTGATGCTGATGCTGAAGCTGATGTTGCCTCTGTTCTGGTAGCTGTCATAATGACAGCAATTTGAGGGTTAAATTGGATATGCTTGAAGCGTTGACAAAGTTGGTCACGTGCTCATTTTTATACCCGCTACTCGAAGAGCCCCACAAGGGTATGTTATATGACAGGAAATCGCGAGACATTTCAACTAAAAGTGAGTAAAGTTGAGTTCATAGTTCATTCGAGAATGTTAAACAATAGTCTTATATTTATTAAATATTAAAATGATCGTTAAACAAAAGCAGGTTCTACGGTGTGTTCAAGTCGTTCTTGGTCCCTTTGGCTATTAATATGCTTTCTTACTGCTATCAGCCCTGTAAACGGTCGCACATAATTGACGTTTCATTAGCATCTCTGTCTCTTTTTAAGGAACATTTACCATGCAAATGGTGAACACCTTACTCGATGCTTCCTCACTTTCAAACTCAGAAAACACACTTTAAAGTTGTTGTCATGGCAATTAGAAAGGTCAGTCCTATGATGATGGTGATGATGCCCATGATGGCCACTCATAAAAACTTAAATTCGTGCACACACTTACTCGTCCTTTGCCATTCCTTTTACCCCATTGAACTTGTACGAAAATCGAATTTGTGAACAAGTTCTATACACACAGCCAGACACACACACCGGACCCTCAATGGAAATGGGTAAATTTCATAAATGAACAAGGATTCCACATCAATTTATGACATAATGATATTTGAGTGGGGCAAATTGTGTTTGCCCGAGGGCGGGTAGGGGGAACTCAAGTTGCGTTTTTTTTGTGGCTTGTGCTGTGGGCGCCAGATGGCCACAACTTGGAATGCCTGTCCCGGCAATGTGGCTCCATTTTATGTAAATTATGAGATTATTTTGGGATTTAGAATGGGTTTACTATTGTAGCTTAAGGAGCATATTAGAGACCACTTCCCACTGATAAGGTGTTGAGGTTAATTCGATGGTTTATGCCGTGGGATGTGTGCTCTCTGGCCATTAAATGTAACAACATTTTTGTTAGTTTTATTTGTTCTCTCTTATTTTTCCGCCCTCCTGTTCTGCGCCACACTCCGTGTGATTAATAGCTGAAAAACTTGTTTTCTAATTATTTAACACCCAAAAACTACGACAATTAATTATGTGGCTGAACAATGAAGCCCCTGACGGACATTGTGGGCGACGCACAGACACAGACACAAACAGAGGCAAATACAAAAGCTTACAACAATTGCTAGTACAACAATAAATTTTATTGTGCATACAAACACAAACACATAGAGAGAGACATTCAGCATTCTCTTTTGTATGGCGCTCTTTTTTTTACTCCTGTTATTTGGTTGGAAAATGAAATTGTAGACAAATGCACATGCAACGAGAGAGATGGAGAGAGAGAGAGAGACTGACTCCGACACACGCAGAAATATCTACATCAGATAACCAACCGATTCGCAGGCAAGAACTTAGTGATGAAAGCAGCAGCACTAACAGGAATCTTTGGTGCACAAATATGGAATTTCTTATTAATATCAGATCATACGTTAGATACATTCTTATTCAGGAAAATGAACGAATATTCAAATTCCAGACCTAAAGTATTCCTGCTCTGCATTTTCAATGGATATCTTTCGTCACTATGCTAAATTCCACTGTGCAAAACAAATGCACGCAGTAGTACGTACGTACGTATGTATGTATACATTTACGTATATGTGCATGAATGTGCACCCCATTGCAGTGCATTGCATTCGGGTTAATTGTTTTTTAGGCATGCAAAAACACAGAGAGAAAGAGGCAAATAGAGATGGTAAAAGAGGTAGGTGGGGGCCAGAGAGAATCATTTAATGGCATGGCACATTCATTTGAAACTTTTTAATTAAACAGCAAAACTGTGACAAATTATTTTAACGAGCTTTCCCCATTGCGAAACTGCAACATAAAAATCGCTTTAAAGAAAACTCAAACGTAATGACCAAAGCCGAATAAAGCCCCCAAGCAGCTAACAGACAACAATCGGAGTCGCAATCTTCAACCCCAACTAAAAATATATATCACAACAGCAAGCACAATAAACTGGCCAAGATGGGGAGGGCTGAGGAGTGCTCACAAGAAATCTGCTTAAAACAATTATTTCAGAATAATTGGCTTTAATTGCTTTCAGCATCCCCCCGACACCGTCTTCAGTGCGAAAGTCGCCCAAGACGAGGGGAAACTTATGCCCAAGTGTAGGTCATAACGGCATCTATCAGTGGGCGACGAGGGCCGACCAAGGGCTGTCGAGGGTTGAGTGGGCGGAAGCGGAAACAAGCAATTTTGCGGCAAAGTTACGAGTGCCACAGACAGCGGCTGAACAAGGGAAGGCAAGCACAACAATTCACAAGGCTATAGTCAATATTCCGACTAAAAGATACCCACTACTCAAGCAGTAACTACAAGAGAAGAAAACAGATACGAAAAATAAGCAGGAAGAGTTCATTTCATGGGAGTAAAGACGGGTAAATTTACATTTAAGTGTCGGTTACATCCCATCACGAATAATTTATACTCCTTTGTACTCTGCGATTACCGGGTATGTGTACCAACCAAAACGATACGATAAGGAAGAAAAGATTTCGCAAAGTGCACAAGTTTTCATCCTCTTGCCGAAGTAATTCAACAAGTTCTTAGCCAGAGATACGAGTACATATTTTCATAATTAACAGACCATGTGCACTCTCTCTATAATGTGCATATGGCAAGGACTCTCAGATTTTAAACGCTTTAAAGACCACAAACACCCTAGCCAGAGAGAAGGATATCTGATATCTGACGGCACTGGGCAAACTCTATAATCAAGTTAATAGAACCATTAGCAAAAGGGTATGCCGGGCATGCCGCAAACAACAAGAAACCGCAGTCAAGTAAATAAAGTTGTGCGTTGGTCGCCACCAACAAAAAGTGTTGGGATTTGGTGTGGCAACTGTGTTTGCAGATGGTTTTGTTTGCCTTGCTGTGGCCCAGAGCCAGTGCCAAGGAGGCAAACACCAAAGTCTAAAAGTTGCTTATGACTTCCCCCAATTGTTAATTGCAAGCAACTGTTGGAGCACACCTCGCCACGTCTCTACAAGATTAATGATGGAATTAAAAACCAAGCCGAGCCATATAATGCCGGCTGACTGTGTATGAGTGGAGCAGTGCACTTAATTAAAAATGTTTGCCTAAATTATGTACAGACAGTTAGACAGGCAGACAGCAGGCCAGACAGTCATTTCCGTAATTTGCGGTTGGGATTTTTAACATTTCAGACGCAGCCCCCTAGTACCAGCCCAGCCAGTGCCAGCCCAAGGAAGTTCATTGTTAGACTAGACATGAGGCTCAGATTCACTTTCAAGAGGCGTTTCAAGAGTGGCTACATCCTGCGAGGTCCTTAAGTGACCGCCAATTCATAATTAAGAGGGTATTGTCATTTTGCTCATGTGATTGCTACTTGTGTTCTATAAACTGGATAAGCTCTTGGCCTTTAGTCTACTTTCTATTGTATGCCGGTGGCGAAGTTATCAAGAAATCCCTAAGCATTCGCTATTTTTGGGGATATTTTTGCATCAGGAAACGTTTACCGACAGTCGAGAGTATTGGAAATTCGTCATTGAAATTTGCTTGCCTTTTCATTTTTGAGTTTGTTTTACTTGATTTTCCTCCTGCCACATCTTCGTTGTTGTGGGTCTGGGCGGGAGTGGATGTCGTGGAGCAGCGCTAATTAATTGCTTAAACAATTGCACTCTAGCAGCCATCGCGCATTGTTGTGGGCCGCCTGCTGCGTATACTTAATGCGAGAAATTATTTCACGCTCACTTACAAGTGTCACAATTTCGAGTAGTGTCCTCGTCGGTCCAAATGAGACCACATAAATTTTGCAGCCCGCCTGCTTGCCTGCTTGCCTGACTGCCTGCCACGCGCCACGCGCCACAAATGCAATAACTGCGCGTTTTGGTCATGTGACCCTGGCCAAAAATGTGACACTAGGCCAAAGAGGATTTGGCCGACCCAGAGGCAAAAACTGGAACGGCACCGTCATCTCTGCTATGACGCCAGCGAGTGGCAAGTATTTGTCCTCGACATGTATTTTGTGGGAATTTAGCAGCGGCAAACGAAATAGTAATTAAGCGAATATCATTTGCGACAGCTAGCGACAGTCGTGGGAATAAACTATTTAAGTGAAACGTAATAGCTGGAAGTTTACTTTATTTAATGGCTCATTCCGGAGAACATCACTTGGTCTTGGTGGTGCAGCACTGTTCCTTGGGGCCAGACTTGCAGACGCACTTGCAGTCCTGATTGCAGGCACAATTATCGCCGCACTGGGTCGCCGTGCACTTGCAGTCTGCAAAATAGATTTTGTTTAACATTTGACTGACTGGACAATTGTTCGTCCTTTGACTCACTGGATCCACAGCCCTTGCAAACCATTTTGAAGAATAATTATATCGCTTGTACTTTACAACTTGTTGTTGGTCAATGCTGCGTGGTGGCTGAGTATTTATAGGCTCGACCACCAGCTGAGTGCCGCGTGTAAATTTTTTTTTCACTCTGCACGCTCGTGTGCAAAATCAACAGAGCAAACTCGGCTGCAGAAAAAGAGTTGGGGAACCCTGCTTATCAGTCAGTGCACTTCTCCAAGCAATGATAAGATAGCACTTGAGCGAATCCCCTTAGATTGCTGTCTGCCAAACGAGCCGATGGAGGAAGACCCCCGGATAAACGCTACTTGGCTACTTACTATGCGAAATTGGTCTAGTTAAAGGGGTCAGAGTGGAATTACCGCAAATTGCTAAAGTTTTTAATTGTTTATCTCGGTCTAAGGCGAAACATTAGCGCAACATGGCAGCCACGCCACTGCGATGTTGTCCCTGTCGTAATCAGCACACAAAAATCTTTCCAAGCGGATGCAAAAATTAGCCCACTCTCTCAAGCTTTTTTGTTCGCCTCTCGGCCTCGCTGCCTCTCTGTGTTCGTGCCACCACTACTGTGCCAGCCTCGCAGCATTTTCAGGATGAGGTCAAATTATTAATTTAATATGCATCCGTGCCGCCTCGGACTTTTTGGACTTCCGTTTGCCGCAGCGTCAACCCGCCCCCAACGACCAACCAATTTTGTTGGTTTTACATTCTGTTTGGATGCCCACTGGCCCACTCAAGACCTATGACACAGGATGGCCACAAAATGGCAACCATTTCCGCTGCTTCCCCTAGCTCTTCTTGTACCCAGTAGTAGTCGTTGAGTTGATGGGCGTATTTGCACTTTAATATAATAAAGGGTATAGGGATAGGAATCATCCAGATTGGATAAATATTCGAGTCAAATTGAATTTTTTTGCTTACGAAATTATTTGAGAAGTATTTGTATACTTTTTCCTCCAATTTTGAGCACAATAGAGGTCTGACTAGTGGGTATCCTTTAGTCCGAATATAAAGTTTTACTTTCATTCTTAAATGTCTTCCTGGCTGCACTCCTCAGAGCATCTTTGGTGGCTTTTCTTTGCCTGATTAACGTTTAAACTCATTAAGATAACGCAATTTTTGGTGCTCTGCTTAATTTTACTTTCTTGCAAGCAGCTGCTACCTCCGGCTGCCTGCGGTTAGAGAGGGGGTTCAGAGGTCAGCAAGCTGGAAATCTGTTGCCATTGTCTGGAACTTGATGCCTGTAATTGGTTTGTAAACAATTTTGGCTGCTCTTTGACAATTTCCCTGGCCATTTTATGTTGCGGCTAATTGTGAATTTCCCTCCCTCACCGCTTTCCCTCTGTGCGCTGATTCAGCTTCTTATCAAAATTGAAGTTCGCATTGCGCCAGACCCGGGCATTATGCTCTCTATGTTCACGCTCAATTAAGGTCTGTGGCTGCTGGTTCCTGGACGTGGTCGTGGTCCTGCTTCTGGTTCTGGTTCTGGCTATGGTTTTTTGGGCTCGGCCGGACAGATAGGGATCCGGGCTGGCGCTGTTTACCCGCCAATCAATTCAATTTGCGACTTGTTTGCGCCGGGCATCGCTTCAGAACCGCTCCATTCGGGTCGATCCAGTGTGCGGTTGTGTTCGATTTGTTCGCCGTCAATAGCCGCCAGCAGCGCGCTGCTCCCTTATTAAACGAGCAAATATTTTCGCTGGCATATTAGATAAATGCTATGATTATGATTATGGCCTGCAAAATGGCATAATAATCTGCGGAGTTCGAGGCAGGAGCGGCATAATCAAGCGGATTATGCCGAAAATATCAGCAAAATGAGAATATTTAAATGATTTGATGATGACAAGGCTTTAATTTTCTGTTTTCACCTGTGCGTGAAGCCCATAAACACAACAGTTTAAAGTGTTTTGTTTATTTGTTTGGACGATTTGGATTATTTCCGGTGGTTTTAAAGTCCAGCATTGTCTGAGAACCTTAGAAGTAATTTAAAATTCAGATGGTAACTTTATTCAGGTCATCAGCTTGACATGCCCATCCTAGCAGAACTCCTTTGAGCTCATACATATATGTAGAGGCAATCGTTCATAGGAACGAAAGCCAAACACAAGCCATCAATCCCTCAGCACATGCAGCAGAAACTGCTGCAACTCAAAGAGAGCTTCAATTAGCATAATCCATACACAATGGATGACACCAAAAAGCTGACAAGAGTCGCACATGGACTGGGAGCTGTCATACTGAACAGCTGGCGAAAGGACTTCAAAGGCGCAGCAACCTTTGACCAGGGCCTCTTAAAGCAATCCTTATAGGCAAGGTGAAAAGTTAATTATTCGATGGATTATGCTAATGTTAAACAAGGGGAACTCTAAATAATAATTTAAAATTATTCCAAGCAATCCCCAAGAAATTCTCCGCAACTGAATGCTGTAAACAGAGCTGCTAATAGGCTGGTGTCAAAGAATTTCAGGACACTGCCCGACTATGCCATAATCAACTCAAAGCTAACTGCGGTACACACTCTAACAGAATTTGTTAGTATTATTCACGCCCTGGGCCTTTGCGCAGTCAGTGCTTTATACATGTCAAATCGCATTCGAAATTTTCCAACAGCACTAAAACAATTTCAGAATAGGAGGAGCCCCTAAACGGAGAGGACTTGGGCCAGCCAGCTGGACTGAGCTGGACTTTGGAGCTGGGACTGGGTACTATGTGGAGTGAACATGTGGCCGAACAACCGAGCACACGGGCAGAGGAACAGCGACAGGCACGACATGGAACTCGACGCACAAAACGAAAAAGACTGTGGACGGGGGAACGTAATGGGTAAAGGCGAAAGCCTGCAACAAGCAACGGACCAAATGCTGTCCTGGTTATGGTTCTGGTTCGGGATCTGCCTACGTTGCGGCTGCTGTGGTTGCAGTTCATGGCAGCCAGCCCCACAGAAGGGCGGGAGGGGGGTAGGTGGCATGGATCAGGCATAGGCCGAACAGACCCAAAAATGTTCTGCAATATGCGCCGAGTTGGAAAATTCATCATAAATTCCATGCGACAACATGGGAGCCAAACTTTTCATATGCTCCTCAAAATGCCGCAACGGTCTGTCCCCCAGTCCCAAGCATCCATCCAACCATCCAACCATCCATCCAGCCATCCAACCATCCAACAGCTGCTGGCGATTTTTATTTATACATACGCATGGAGCATGTACGTACGGACATACAGACTGTTGCAACATCTCGACACGCAGAGGATGGAAGTGTGTTAAATGCATATTTGTGGAGCTTAAATTCCATTTGCCAACTGATGACAATCGGTAACAGCTTGGCCAGTAAATTTCATACTTACCCATTCTGCCACAGTTAACCCGAATTCGGATTTGCATAAATGCGTGGGATAAGTTCCCTAAGCTGTCAACCCAGCCATCTCTGGTTTATCTCTTGTGGCCTGTCATTTTTTATCGACTTGAAGTTTAACAACTTACACTCTGCAATTATAACCCTACCCTACAGCACCGAGTGGCATTCATTACCGAGATGGGGATGACACAGAGATCGGGGTTTACGACTGCCAAGGATGCCAAAGCGTTTTTATGACAATTCCAGAAGCTCTAATGCTTTATCATTATGTAGGTCTTATCCTTACGTGCCTTTAAAGCTGGCAATTGCCATCGTTCGTGTCCTCGATTGAAATTGCTTGGCGTCAGCTGAAGTTCTCATTACGCGCTGACGTTTTCAATATACATCATATGGCAGCACACAACACACTGAAAAAATAGTTTTAAAAATATAAAAAAATGTATTTATCCTCAGTCAAACATGTGTTCTGCCTTACGCATAATGCACATAGAAGAAACAAGTTTCTTGATAGCTTTTATTCTCAGTGCAGGCACACTGATGAACGCACAAAAGTTTGTCAATCTGCCAGCAAATGACATGCATCGACGCCGGCGATGAGTGGGGCGCTTAAGAGCATGCAACACTTGGCGCCGCCATGCACGATGCTGACGTGCCAATGTCACAATTATTTAGAGAACGAACCCCATGCCATCATCAAAGCGAAGCCCTCCAAAACGGCGGCAGCAAAGGCGATGATGGGGTTGGGGGTTGGGGGTTGGGCGCCCAAAAACGATGTCGTATCCGTTGCAACTGCTGCCAACTTGCAGCAATGCCAGGGAAAGAGATAGAGCGGGAGAGGTGAGAACTTGACGGAAATCACTAGAGCAACTTTTTTAATGGAATCAAATCAAATTGTTCGGAAGCTGTAAAAAGCGATTGCACGGAAGCATTTTGAGTTGTTGACATCGGGGCGGCGCCACACGGTTGACATCGACATCGACATCGACGGCAGCCGACGCCAACCAACAGTCATCGAGGTGTGAAAAAGGCGGCAGCACCAGCCCCAAGCCAGCAGAGAACTTTGCCAAAAGAAACACACACACTAAAAATCTCTAAAAATAGGAGAAGGAATCATAAGTACACACTTGAGAGGGAGCTTGGCAGCATCGTCAATACGGCGTCAAGTGTGCGCTTGTCCACGCCCATTTGAGGCTCATCCGCCAGAAGAAAGCCAGGAAACATCAGAAGGAAGCCAACGAAGCCAACGAAGCCACCATGTAATTGGCCAAATGACAATGTGCACAAGGTGCAAAAAGTTGCCAGCTGGTGGTGGAGCAAAACAGAGTAGAGAGAGAGCAATGCTGCTATGGTATGCCGGGGCGAAAGTTCAAAGTGCAATCGTTTGCTTTTGGGTTATATGGCGCATAAGTTTCAGGCGCTGCATTTGCACTTGCAAAGTTGCAGAGGGCCATAAAAATCGACCATAAAGCGTCAAGCTGGCTTGCCACAAACTGCTCGTAAATCAACTTAACACGCAGCAGGCCCTCTGCGGCTCCGACAGACACCCACCCGGACAGGGCACACTGTCACCATCATCCACTACCAGCAGTCCCTTCCACTCCCTCGCATTGGGCCGAATAGCTAATAATTCTTGTTGACACCAGCTAAGTTATGCACAATAAACTTGAGCGGGAGAGCTGGTGCAAATTAAGATAATCAATTCATTAGTTTGGTGGCCAGCGTGCCACAGCCAGCCTAAAGTTAACTTCGAAATGCACGAACAGGCTTGCAATGGCAGTCG